CAGCCGCCGCCCGCGGAACGCCGCGGCCGCGGGCCCCCGTTTCCAGCCGGAGCACGTACGGACTCCGGCGCGCTCGCCACGTCCAATGGGCAGGCTCGGGGGGCGGGACAAAGGGAGCGCGCCCGCCCCTCCCTGCGCTGCTTCCGCGTCATGGCGGAGGTGCGGTTCGCGTGTTTTGGAACAGTGGGGCGCATTTCCGAAGGCGGTGGCTGAAGTTTCCCCCCTTTCCAGGGTGGTCCCCGCGGGATCGCGGCTCTCTCGCGGGCCCCGGGGCCGGACTTTTACCCGGCCCGGAGCGTAGGCCCGGGGGCGCCGGGGTCCCGTCCCTTGTCTGTGCGCAGACTCAGGCCCGCGACCCTCCCGGGGACGGCGCTGCGCTCCGGTCGCGGCCACGTCGTCCCGGTTTCCGGTTTGCTTGAGGCCGCTCGAGCCAGAGGCGCACACCGCGGTCCTCCGCCGCCGCGCCGGAGCTGCACCGCACAGCGCCGAGGGAGAAGGGGTCCCCCACCCTTTGCCTGCGCGCCCACCCGCGCCCGTCCCCCAGCCCGCCGGCGATCGCAGGCGGCAGGACCGAAAGCCCTGCCTTTGTGGGAGCTCCCGCGGCTGCGGAACCCGCAAGTAAGTAAGGACGTGCGCTGACGACCCTGCCCAGGGATGAAGCCGCCCGCTTTAGAGCCCCTGGCGGCCCTGTCTCCTCGAACTGATGCTCAGTATTCTTACAGTGAGCTCAGCTCCGGGAGATACACCCGGGTGTTTCTTTGATTATCTACAGCGCCAGGAGAACTGGAAGCATTTTAAATCCAAAGGATTATGCTGTATTCTTGTGTCTGAACTCCCCGCTGGTACCCAGCTACAATTAAGAACTAACGCATTCCCTAGGCCTTCTAATAGCGCCTTGCAAGGTTTGTCTGGAGAATGCTTTTTCATTTGACTGCACCAGAAATTATGTAAATATATTTAGTTCAAAACGAATTAATCTTGGTTCATTTCATATTGCACTTCAGAGGTTTGCAATTATGAGATGACCCACACATGAGAAACAAAATCATTCCTTACTCACAAACACTTTACTAGCTGCTAAAAATCTCTGCCTGGCACTTTTCCGCTAAGCAGGGATATTTTGTTGCGTATTATGAGATAGACTGTAACAAAAGAGAGAGTCCCTGACTGCTTCCTATCAAAATCCCAAAGAGCCTGTCCCTTACGAAATCAGGTTTTTTGTTTGTTTGTTTTTGAGACAGGGTCTCACAATGCCATTCAGGCTGGCCTTGAACTCACTTTGTAGCCCAGGCTGGCCTCGAGCTCACAGCGATCCTCCTGCCTCAGCCTCCTGAGTGCTGGAATTACAGGCGTGTGCCACCACACCCAGCCTCAACCTGGTTTAAACCTCTAGTATTCCTAACCCAAAACATTTAAAAGGAACTATTGTAGCAACTCCAAGCGATTCATTCTGTCTGCTGTCTCACCTCTCCCGCCTGTCTCTGTGGAACAGTGTCACAGAGAAAGCTGCTCTGTCCCAAAAGAAAGCTGGGAGGAGGAGTGCAAGCAACAGGAGTACATAAAATGGCATATTTCATTTCTGAAGACAAAGGAGGCAAAAAGTTACGAGCCGGCTGTGGGGGAAGCCTGCCTAACCGCAGCTCCAGGACTCCAGAATGTGTCAGGTGAAGAAGCAAGTAGCTGGCCGCTGTGATGTGAAGGATTTGGGGCCAATGGCTGCTATGAAACCTCCCATCTCAAAGGAGCCGATTTTACTTTGTACCTGAGCCCCAAACCTAGAAAAATAAATCACCCCCATGAATAACCATAAAACACCTCTTATTTACGTTTAGCAAGCACGGGAAGAAACCAGAGAACAGGGATTTGCCTAAACGATTTGCGTAAAGGTAGCAGACCAATTGAATAGCAGACCTTTTCATAGAGCTTGGTGTCCCAGCTCCTGGTCCTTGGATCCATCTAAGAAGCCGTGCTGTCTCTTCTCGCAGAGAGCGTCCTGAGTTACGCAAATGAGGAGGAAGGAGAGCAGCAAGAGTAAATATACTAAGCAGAAGTTCAGCTTGCCCTTGGGACTGCCCCTTCCTTCATCTACTAGAATGTCACTGCAGTGTACGCAAGCCTCAGTTATCCACAATGGGGGAGGAAAGAGGCACAGACAACTCAGAAAGCCAAATACGAGGCAGTGTTTCTGAAATGCAGTCAGTGATGGTCAAAAGGCATGTAAGTGATGCCCTGTGGGTCCCTGACCTGGGTCTCAGCTCTGTACACAGGATTGAAACTTTGGCTGGATTACGTGCCTGTCCAGATCTCTTAAGCAAGGGCTTTGTGTAGCTGGCTCTTAAAAGTATGGAGTCTTCATGTTCTCTTTTGAGTTGCAAAGTGTAATGTAAAGAGAACCGGCAGCAAAAGGCACTTGGAAAGCACAAAACTCGGTAGTCACTAAGTTGAGCTAATGGTCTAAGAAAAAAACTCATCCCATGGTCATGGCTAGATTTTACATTCCTAGCAATATTTGGCACACCTTGGGAGAAAGATACAAGTTTTTCCCAGAGTATATTCAATAGAATGCGTCTAGTAGTTAAGGGATGAGCACCCTCTTAGAAAAGAAAACAATAAACATTTGCTACACTTTGGATCTCAAGTGTGCCCCAAAGCTGAGAGGCTAAAGGCTTGATCACCGGCTCACGGGGCCAAGGAAGGTGGTGGATACTGGAAGGAAGCTAGCTGCTTGGGGTGTGCCCTCCAAGGGATATTGGGATCCCCACCCCTTCCTGTAACTCTGCTCCAGGCCGCAGTGAACAGGTTTCCCCTGCTGCATGCTTCTGCCATGACGTCTCCCTTGCCACAGACCCAAAAGCAATAGGACCGAGTGGCTGGACTGAATTGTGAGCCCAAACAATCCTTTCCCTCCATATTTTTGGTATATTTTTGTGGGGTTTGTTTGTTTTGAGACAAGTTCTTGAACTCCCTACATTGCCCAGGCTGGCCTCAAATGTGTGGCAATCCTGCTGTCTCTGCCTCCTGAGTGCTGGGATTATAGGTGTGCACCACCAGGCCCAATTAAATTTTTTTTCAGAACTAGTAACTATAGGGGTTTTATCTGAACTTAGTTATAATTTTGGTGACTTACGGTGACATCACTATGTATCCAATTAATAAAATCTTAAGGAGCAACGGCAAACAGGTTTTAAAGAAAATAGCAGCTTCGGGTACAGAACTGAACCAGGAGTCGGAAGACCTCCAAGAGCAAATACAAATAACAGTGTAGTTCACTGGAGATCACCCAGGGCTGCTGCTCAGCGTGGCAGTTCACTACCCTCAGTCCTGAGCCTGGCTCTGTCTTCTTGTTTATGTAATTTGGGCCAAACTACTTGACCTCTCCAAGTCTTAGTTGCCCTGTCTGCAAAGTGGAAAATACAAGTAAGTTACCTATCTCCCGGAGATACATAGAGGCTTATGTTACATACACCAAGTATAAAGGGCTTAGCCGTGTGCCTAGATGCATGGTAAACATTCAGAAATGTTCATTTGCTCTTCCTTTCACACCAAGTGGGATAAATCAATCTCCTAAGCATCCCTTTCTTCTGTAAACTGAGGACCTTGATTCTGAGCTGTCTGCTTCACAGCACGTCCTGTCCGTAAGAATCAGATGATCTAAAGCCTTCATCAGCGTAAAACCTCAGCCAAGGTTATGATAATAAGCATGCTCTGTCCACACAGGACTTTAGCCTCTTCAGAAGTCATTTTCTGAGAACCTAGGATGATAGTTTCTCTTAAATAAAGTGTCTCTCTTCATGAGACTTCATATTAACAAAAAGAATGAGGGAAAGGAATATAAAACACAGAAACTATAAAATGCTCAAAGAAGCTCAATCTTGGAAGCAGCCTTTATGTTCACCCATCAGTAGAAGAATGGATAAAGAAGGCGTATGTACACACAGTGAGCGCTATTCTACCATGAAGATAAAACTGAAGAGTAAACACAGCAAAATAAAAGGTATAGAATAAGAAGTAGGGAGACCTTTCTCTTTTTTTTTTTTTTTTTTTTTTTTTTTTTGGTTTTTCTCCGGTACCGGGAACCGAACTCACGACCCCGCGCTTGCCAGGCAGGCACTTTGCCGCTGAGCTAAATCCCCAGCCCCAGGGAGACCTTTCTCAAAGGGGAAAGAGATGGAGCAGGGAGGGAAAAAGGAGGAGAGGTTAAAAAGGAATTAAGATGTATTATGTACATGTACCAGTTCCCCACAAGGAATGTAAGTACGTACTACAAGCATGTACTAATAAAAATTTAAATATCAAATCACAAAATCAAGCAGCAAATTCAGTCTACTTAGAGATGTCTGTCTTTCTACTAAGAAAATCCCCCTTTGATAAATATATAGAAAATTCTTCCCAGCTAGCTCATCTGTCTACTTCTGACACCCATAGCATTTCACCTGCTTCCAGGACCTGAAGGGCCACCGTTCGCCTCCCAAGGGAGTCTCGCAGCTGCCTCAGTTTATGTCAGGAATATCAGCAGAAAGATGCGCCCATTTCACAGACTCGTAACATTTACTGGATAGATCAGCACACCAGGCACTGGCCTGGCAAGTAATGGAATGGAAAGCAGAATAAACACAGCTTCTCAGTTTCATGGAGCTTACTGTAGTAGGGAGGCGTATCCAGCCAGCAGCCCTGCAGTGAATAGAGAATTACACACTGCTGAGTGCTAGAAATTAATTATACATTTTTAGGAAATCTTGTAACAGAAAAGCCTGACTTAATTGGGGGTAGGGAGACTGTTCGGGTAAAGGTGCCCGGAGGAAATGTGGCTTTGCTTCGTTTTGACATCCCCTTGCTAAGCTTGAGGACTAGCAAATTGCCTAAGTTCCTGCTGGACCAGCGGTGTACCAACTAGCCGTGAGCACAAAAGTGGAGCGCCCTCGGAGCCTCGTAGGATGCGATGGATCGCTGCGTCCCTCACACACTCTCAGCAGCCTTCAACACAGTGCCCTACACACAGCCAGCTCTCAGATACCAGTGACGATGATTATTCAACCGTAAGACCAGAGGCAGCCTCGCTGCCCTTGGATGAGCTACATGAGCAGTCCCAGGGATGAGCAGCCGTCTGCTTTAAACTCACAGAGGACATGTTCCTTTAAGGACAGAACTTCAACTTAATACTTAATCCCACACTCCACCAAACAAATCAGTTTCTCAGAATTGTGTTAACAAGGCACATGTCAGTATATATGTGTAACCACCTAAGATGTCCTTTTTAAAGGCCCAATTCATGATATCGAGGGCTTCAACTTGGATCACAAATAAATTCTAACTGATGCTGATACAACTGATGTGAACAAGCATCCTCTCTAATAACTTAGGAAATTTGTCATTTCACTGTAATACCCCTTGTGGTTCAGTTTCTTTGCCTGTAAAGTCAGCCAATCCCCACCTCTGTACTTACATTATACATATGTGCACTCCTTCTGGAATCCTAAATAATCTGTACATAAAACGTGCTGAAGCTACTTAAAGGAACGTGTGTATTCTTAAAAAATACAATTTCAAAGTGAGGACCTTCCAAGAACAGATCTGTGAGTTAGACACCTGATAGAAGAGACTGTTGTTTTCATTCAGTTTCTGGGGAATTTTCAGAGTTTCAAAGACCTTTCATCTTGTTCTGAATGCACTTTCAGGATAGCTGCTATCCTTGCTGTCTCTTTGATGCATTTGGTTTTGTTCTTTTGAATGGCTCCTTCCTCTGCACACCACTCACCTATAACTTCATGGTACTGTCTTGACAGACTTAGCTTGAAACTATAAGTCCTTATTTTGTGACTATAACATATGCAAACTTATCTTTTGTATGAGATGTATAAAAAAGTTTTTACTGCACGATGAGAATGCTTTTAAAAGTTAACGTCTGAGTGTTGTCAGTAGACAAAAATGCATGTACATAAACGTGATAAAGAGTTTGTGAGCAGAAGGGGCTAGAAAAAGAATTGAAATGTGTTATCTACACATACCAACTGCCCACAGTGAGTGTAAGCGTTATGTACTACAAACATATACTAATAAAAACTAAAAAAAAAAGCTCGCACTGTACCACAGAACAGCCACATCTCTGTTGGCATGAAGGAAGGCCACTATTTTATTTTTGCACAACCACAAACTGGTCAAAAAAAAGAGGAAGAACACCTTTATGAAAGAGGTTACTTGAGCAACCTGCCAACCTGAAAATCAGACAGAACTATCTCCCTTCTATGGTGAAAACTGTGATTGATTTGTTAATAGCTGCAGATAATATGAGCCTGTTTTACAGTTTAGCCCAGGACCTTCCTCAAACTTACAGTATGCACAGCTCATTAAAAGGGGGTTTAAGGGGCTGGGGATTTAGCTCAGCGGCAAAGCGCCTGCCTGGCAAGTGCAAGGTCGTGAGTTCGGTTCCTGGTACCGGAGGGAAAAAAAAAAAAGAAAAAAGAAAAAAAAATTAAATTTAAAAAAAAGGCGGTTTAAGAAAACTAAAACCTCCGCATTGTGAGCCCTCTCCTGTATTTATCTCCAGTTACAGCTTCCTTTTGCCAACATTCTTTGCTCTGTATGGTTTCCTAAAGTTGACATAGTCGATACTGAATGCAGCTGTTAAATGATCCTACAATCGGAATTTATTTCTCGGTTCATTGGCTGTGTCCAAAGACTCAAATGCAGGGCCTTACACATACTGGGCAAATACTCTATCACTGTCCTAACTCCCAGACCCAGTGTTCAGATCTTCTGAAGAAGTTTGAAACATGATAAAGAGTGGGCGTTAGAGCCTGCCGCCTTTCCTCAACCAAGAAGAATTTTCCCCACTGACAGAATTCTAGGTTCCTCCTCTTTGGGGGCACGCAGAAAAGCTGGCTATAGGTCAAGCTATTCTTTTTGCAGAAAGATTTGTTTTGATAATTAAAACTATAAATGTCACTGGAGCCAAATTTGCTGCATTTCAAATGGACATCTTATAATTTGAACGCATTTTTATGTATCCATTTTT